ACAGTCTCTTTTGTCTAAAATGCAAATAGCTAAAATATCTTAAGGGTTAAGGTGTTTTTAATTAGGTAAGTTGTTCTGAGCTGCACAGGTAAATACCCAAGGAAAGAAGAAAGCCAAATGTCTGAGTTATGCTTTTTAACAAGAATAAATTTTGGCTACTGCATAGGGCTTTAGCAGTGATTTCCACAAGTGTGGTTCCCCGAATAATATCTTTGTTAACCAATATTTCTGAAGATGTGAAATGATTGATGGTAGTGTACGGGGAGGCCAGAAACGCAAGAGGACCATCTAGCCTCTGTCTAAGGACCGAGGTCTGCTGCTTGAGTACCAGTGTTCTCGCTAGTGTCAGGTTTCACTGGTGACTGAAAAACTTAAATAAAATTGCAGGTTTGTTTTTTAGGAATTCTTTTATTATTTTTCTTAATAAAAATTTGGTATGATGGGCGTAAGTGTGCCTGTGTTGTATTGTTTCACACTTCAGTTGTATTTGCTTTATTAGTGTAAAGTCACTCAGCTCTGATAAACAGAGGTGTTGCAAGAATAGCAGTTTGTACTTCTATCAAGTAGCCAGCATTTTGCTTTCCTTGTTGTTTAATGTTGATTGTAATATGTATATTTACATGTCCTAATGGAGAAACAGAATAGTTAATTACGATTTTAAGGATGGTCACTTAGAGATAGTTGTAAGGAGTCACGCTTCAGAGAACCTGAAGTCCCCCGGACTGGTTTTAAGAGCACTGTAGTTACCACAGCAGGAAGGTAGGGTTTTACTGACACACACCCCCGGCCCAATGGCTCACCCAGAATTGCCTTTGGGAGTCGTAAACATTCATTAATCAGCAATAAAGAGACAGCAGGCTTCATGGAATACTTTTACAGAGGAAAAGAAAGCAGGAGAAAGCAAAGGCTTGCCCAAAGTACTTATTGGTCTAAGTCATGAAGTTGCTAAAGAACCAACGTAGTGGTTCTGCTGTTAGTAAGACTTAAAACCAGAGCAGGATAGAATTGTAAAGGTCTTTGAAATAATTGGTATGTTAATACTGATACCTTGAACAAATTTAACTTTTTTTATTAATTCAGTCTATATTTTTCCTGCAGCTTTAATTGGGTATGGTGACACAAATCCTCCATTGGCCATAAATTGTCATAGCACCATTGATTCTTTCTCTCCTCCTCTCCATCCCTGAAGGATTGATATCCACATACAGCAGCACTGCTCTGTTTTATAAGTAGTATGCTGCTAAACAGCTCCCAGAGGAGGCTGCATTTCAGTGAAGGATGAAGGCTACATGTATATGGTGGGTGTATATAATTTGAAAATGAATCAGGACATTAACTTTGCTACATGATTATGGTTAATTTTTAAGCTGCCGTTCAATTTTCATTCTTCATCAGAGGAGAATGGAGTCAATAGCGAGTAGGTTTTCAGTCCTGCTCCAGTTCAGTATTTAGGCCAATCATGTGTTTAACGCAGCTTTTGGGCAGGGAATCAGCTTGAGAGCTGCTTGGTGCCTCAGGCTACCAGCTGCTTGCCTAATTGGCCTGGGGGCACAGTGGAAAGAAAGCTGAGACACCAAGTTAGCTGGCTTCAATATTGTTCCCAACTGGCAGAAACCTGCTTATTGGTTTGAAGTGGCATCTAGTGTCATAGATGTACAGCATAGATGTACCGTTTGCTCAGGGATGGTGCTATCCATACTAGCTGTCCAGTTCTTTCGCATCAAGTCAGTGTGAGTGAAGTTTGAATCCACATCTTTTTCTTGGGCAACACTCGAAGGCTGCTGAGCTAAAATTTATTTTAAGACGGAGCCTTTCCTTATTTGAGTGGGAGGTTTCACAAGGAAGCGTGGCAGGCGCGTAAGACATATTGAAGAGAGAGCCTAAATAATATCTGTATTTATTTAATCTGCATACAGAAGGAAAATAGACATAGAGGACAAAGAGCATAGTTTGGGGAAGTACAGCGATACGCTTTGAACTATTCTTCCAGATACTCAGTTAGCTTGACTTTGACAGTCAGCGAGGTTCAAACTGTATCCTTCAACAAGAGTGGTAAGTGCCAAACTATAGGGGAAAGAAGTTTCTGGTTTGGGTAGATTTTCTTGTTAAGAAATCTCAGGAGGTTCTTATGCTTTTGTGAAAAAATGTAAGGAATATGAAATACTTGGTTTTGTTAACTTTTAAGTTGTTAAAATCCATGGTGCTCTGTTTTGTTAGGGAAGATAATGTTTAGTATGCAGTTAACACTTGGATTTGAAGTAAATGCCAATAAACTTGTTTTATTTAAGACATTCATCTGTTTGAATGTGCAAGGAATGTAGACAACTGCTAATGATCACAGTGATTTGTTTCTATAATTATTAAAATATTGTTCAATTGGGTGATTTGTTTCTATAATTACATAAATATTGTTCAGTTGGGTTTTCAAATATTTTTATAGGTATGTATGTGGCTAGTGCATCTTCACAGGTGATTTTAGTAGTTGAAACGCTAGCAAAATAGGGCTAAGCAATCAAACTTGGTCTGTCCATTTCTCTCCACGTGGATAAACTGCTTTGACTTGAAAGGGCAGCAATCTTGAAAATAAATAACTCAAATTTTTCCACAATCAGTGGTGGCATACAGATTGAATGCTGCTATTAATACTTCTGATGAAGGAGAAGACATAACTTGCCCATTATATGTTATTTTCTGGTAGCATCTGACTGGCAAACCGACTTGTTGCTAGCCATGGTATTTCCTGGGGTTTTTTGCTACAAGAGGGTGGCTCAAGAAACATGAGTCATGGGAAGATGCTGGCAATTAGAGAAATGGAATAAAGGAGGATTTAAAAGAAGGTGTAGACAAATGGGTGAGAAAATAAACTTGTTCTGTTGTTTACAAAACAACTACTTCTGCCAACTGAAGACTTTCTGCAAACAATTAATCTGCTGGTAAATAACTGGTGTAGCAACCTTTATTAGACTGATCATATATGGTACTGCCTATGTGCAAACTGTCCTTGCAGTTGATGAAAGTTTGCACATAGGACAATGGCAGATGACACGACAGTATTTTTCCCAACTGTATAGTAATTATATTATTCATTACAATGAACCTAAACAGGCAGTAATAAAGTGTGACAGAATATCTTATGCCTTAAAATTATCATGTATTATATTATTATGAAAAACTGTCTTGTATTCAAAGTACCACTTGCTTAAATGGTGCTTAGCTTTTTAAATTGATATAGTTAATTAGTGTTAAACTTAGTGTGGACAGTCTTAAGCCAGTTTAGACATTTGGCTCTTAACAATTTTGCCTAGATGTTTTTCTTACAAAATCAAGTTTAAATAGAACGCAATGAGAGCAATGAGACTGTAGGACATAATTTTGTCCACAGGATCTCTGGTAGGAAAGAAATGCCCTAACTTGATATTAATTTTTTTTCTAATTGATTTCAGTGAAACCTGTCTAACCTTATGTAGACAGGTTCTCATAGTTGAAGTCAAATTTGCAGGGCTGTCACTCAAGGCAATTTTTGCTAAACAAAATACACTTAATAAATACCTAGTGTCTTCTTCCTCCTCATCTTTCATGTAAAAAGTCATTAAAGCAAACGTTGCGTTTTCTACTCTACTTCTGAAAACATGTAAGCAATGTTCATTTTTCAACCATTACAGGACTTTTACTTCCAGGATGATTTAAATTTTATAGAAGAGCAAATGAAGTAGTTAATCAATTTCTCATCAACTCCTCAAATTCTTTAACTCCTGATTAACACAGTTATCTCAACAACTAGTCAGAGATGCATGTTGCCATTAGTGGACCTCTTCCCTCTCCCCAATAAATAAATAAATAAAATTCATAGAAATCAAATCATATACCATTTAACAGTTAAACTGAATTTTCAGAAATTAACAAAAAAGCTTCCTGACTTCACAGGAAAAACTGCAAGCTGTTTATGACTGGGGAAAAAAAATGTATATTTTTACAAAACTTGCAATTTTCCTTGCTGTCCTATTGATACACTACAATGAAATAGGCCATTAAGATGGCTGACCAGGTTAGAAGCTTCCAGGTGCTTCATCTGCTTCTCGCCAGCTCTAGCTTCCCTTGCACTTCAGCAGTTTTTATCCTGCACTGCACTTCATCTCAGCTCTTGGTTTTTAACTGTTGCAGTTATTTCATAAAGGTGATTTCAGTTCTTCTTCACGAAGATTAGTTTTCATTTTAATTTGAAGTTTAAAGTCTTCTTATTCTTTGATAATGCAGCTGTCGGTGTCCTTCATACTCATGAAGGTTCTCCTCCTTGCATGGGTTATGGTTTTCCACTCTCACCATACAAAGTTGAAGGTGATTGTATGCAATAGCCTTTCTGCTAATTGCATCTAATCATACATCTTTTATATCTTATGCATAGCCTTTAAAGTGCACTTACCACGTTAATTCTTGAATCATCATGGTTTCAAATAGCTCATTAGAGGAACACTTCTCATTACTCTTCTTGCAAATCATGTCTTTTTTTCACAAATGTTTACTTCTTGCATGTGAAGGGGGAAGCTACGCTCCGCACCAGCCAGCCCCATCAGCCCTGGAGTGCTGTGCAGTTATGATTCAAATCTAACCGAGATCTGCTGCTCGGGTGTAGAAAATACAAATTAAATGTGTTTCATTTCAGTCTCTCTAGGTGGTATTCAGTATCCATGTAGCCTTGGGCAGCCATGTGGTTAACTATGTCCCCTACCAAATGCTTCCTCTAATCTGTTACTGGCAGGAGGGGGAGAGTTGCCAGTCCCTTTTTGTTGTAGCCATCTTCAGATAGATGAAACCTGAGCCTGTTGCCTCATCTCTTTCCAAAATAGGACGTTTGCCAGCAGTGATGGGAGAGGTAGCAAATGAGAAAGGAAGGAGCAAAAACTGTGACTGATGTAGTGGGGAGCAGCAGATGTCATGTGGAAAATTGAGATATACTCAATAAGCATTTTCTACAAACATTTTCATACTGATGTAACTTAGTTATGGGGTGTGAGATACTAGCATATGAGAGAGTGAGTGAGTTTAAGCTTTGAAGCATTTCAGACAGATGGAAGTTTGTGGTTGAAGACAATTTATGTGGAATTACAGGCTAGTGGTGTTCACAGCTTAATGATTCTGCTTTAAAAGTGATTTTATGTTATAATTAAAGAGATGTGGTGAAAGAGAATAGAAGGAGCTGGGTTACAGGAAGCAAGAGAAGTTAAGGCCAAGAGCTGCTGCCGTTAAAAGCATGTCATCCAGAAAGAGCTATACCTTGTATAAGAACATAATACAGAGAATTACAGGTTACTCTTGTGGTACTGACTTCAGCTTGCACTGTTGGCCAACGCAGATTTCTTTGAATACATTATTAAATGCAATATCACAATAAATGAATCAGAAAAGAGGCTTTGACATCTGTATTACAGATCATATTAAAGTATATACTTATCTAGAACAGAAGAAAGCTGTGTCTGAATCAGCACAAAGTATTTGATATTCAGCAGCAACAAAAAAAATAAAATGCTGTGATACTGTATTTTTTTATTTTCAAAATAGGCTTTGAGCACTTGAAGCAGAGTTCAATTACTCAGAGTATTGCCCTTTGTATAAGAGGAAAATTGTTTATTTGCAATATACTCACCTTGCCAAAATGTCTTGTTCGTAGCTTGCTTTTCTGTTTCTTTTTTATGTATTTGATGTATTTCAGTACTCAGAGATCACGCTTCACCTTAATGTTAACTGTTTTGTAAGCCTCTTGCTTCTATTCTTGTCAAACTTGAAATTAATAAATCTGAATTTTTGCAAACCCCTTTATTGTAGTGCTTTGCACTTGGGGCTTGTATCAATTGAAATAACAAAACAATGGTTTCATCTGAATTCCAGTGCCACTACACAGTTAATTGACTAAATCTCCAGTGATAGTATTTCTGCTGTTTTCAGAAAATTCATATTCTCCAAATTGTTTGAGTTATTCCTCTTATTCTAATTCTTAAAGAGGTGTTTTATAGAAATTATTTGGGATATTTTGGGGATGTCACCATTTCAGTAGCACTTTATAGACATTTTTCTTTAGCAATGATGGCTTTCAGTAACATTAACTTGAGTCATAGAATACAGTATGTGTTCCCTAAGTATATTGTTTTCTAGTCTTTGTGTTCTGTGTCAGACTAACTCACCTTTTATCATTCATACATTTTATAGATTAAGATTCACTTCAGATGTGTCACCAATATATATGCCAGCAAGCGTTTCCTTTATTGCTGAGGAGTTACTGCTTTTCGCTAGGTTATTTGCATTCTAGGGTTTAAACTCAAAATTGGTGATATTTACATTGAAATTTTGTATTTGTCATCCTTAACAGAAAGAGCTATTGCAAGACATGAAGTCAGAGAAATAGAACAACGTCATACAGTAGATGGCCCTCGACAAGATACGACGCTGGATGAAGAAGACGATGTGGTGATTATTTACAACAGAGTACCTAAGACTGCCAGCACATCCTTCACAAATATTGCCTATGATCTTTGTGCGAAGAACAAATATCATGTTCTACATATCAATACAACCAAAAATAATCCTGTTATGTCTCTCCAAGATCAGGTAAGCTGCTGCATTTGGGATGTCTTTATTAAACAAGGGGAAAGTATAGAAAACTTTTTTGCTATTGTGAACTTACATGGTCTGATAGAATTGGCTTTTATGTCACATTTTCCAATATAAATGAATTCTAATGTGTTTGAATTTTCTTTGTAGACAATTAATATTATATATTAAATAATAGGTTTAGGGTTTTGCTGGGCTACTGGAGGTGGTAAGTATCTGTTTATTGGACAAACCAAAGCTAAAAATGGACACAAATAGGGCAGAAATGACCTTTGCTGTTATAACTGTAAAAGTTTATTGTATTGTCAATTGGCTGCCTTTTGGCTGTGTAATAATATTTTCCTGTTATCTCCATCTGCAGTGAATGCAGTCTTACGTGCTTTCCTCTCCGAGTAGTGCAGGCGCTGTGCCATGCTGTCAGGGCTAGACTTCTGTCTTTGGTACTAGGTCTGGTCAGGTCTCACATGTGATAAAAAAAACAGGTAGAAAGAAATGGTTGTAAATAGCTTGCACTCTAACGATGGATCACTTCCCATCCACTTAAAGCTAAAATTCGTGTAGTCCCAGGTTAGCTACCACTGCATCAGGTGACAAGTGCTGAAAAACAGATGATGAAGGATCAATGCTCTGTTTTTCTTGGTGTGGGGTGCAGTGAGGGAGTAGATTTTTTTTGTTTTACTTTTTAAATAATATTTCTTTCCTCAATGTGAGTGCACGTGTAGGAACCCAGATCAGAGGTC